CCTCCCTCTCATGTTGACCTGGATTTTTATTGTCCCTCCCCCTTCGATTTTCAGGTGGAAGTGAACCGCAAATATCGGCTACACTGTGCTGCTAGCAAAGCTTCCTCCTCCGCCTACATCAACTCCCGCAGTGTCCTCCTGCATACGGACCTACAGAAAGGGCGATACGTCATCTTACCCACCACCTACCACCCCACGCAGACCGGAGACTTCCTCCTCCGCGTGTATACAGACCGTGCCAGTCATCTCAGGTAATCAGCATCAGGAGATCCTAAAGGGAACCTGTCTGAACAGGAATGTAGGAGCTTGCTTTTAGAAGGCAGGTTCTGGGGCTGCACCCATGAATTCAGCTTCAAGTGCCTAGTCAGCGTCTATGAACTAGGCCTCAAGTGTGTTAAGCTCCCGTGAACTCGGCCTCAAGTGTGTGGTCAGCTCCCATGAACTTGGCTTCAAGCACGTGGTCAGCTCCTATGAACTCGGCCTCAAGCTTGTGGTCAGCTCCCATAAACTTGGCCTGAGGTCAGCTCCCATGAACTTGGCTTCAAGCACGTGGTCAGCTCCCATGAACTCGGCTTCAAGCGTGTGGTCCGCTCCCATGAACTTCGCTTCAAGCGTGTGGTCAGCTCCCATAACCTTGGCCAGTGGTCAGCTCCCATGAACTTGGCTTCAAGCACGTGGTCAGCTCCTATTAACTCGGCCTCAAGCGTGTGGTCAGCTCCCATGAACTTCGCTTCCAGCGTGTGGTCAGCTCCCATGAACCCGGCCTCACGCATGTGGTCAGCTCCCATGAACATGGCTTCAAGCGTATGGTCAGCTCCCATGAAGTCGGCCTCACGCATGTGGTCAGCTCCCATGAACTTCGCTTCAAGCGTATGGTCGGCTCCCATGAAGTAGGCCTCACGCATGTGGTCAGCTCCCATGAACTCGGCCTCACGCATGTGGTCAGCTCCCATGAACTTGGCTTCAAGCGTATGGTCAGCTAGCATGAAGTCGGCCTCAAGCGCATGGTCAGCTAGCATAGACTTGGCCTTAAGTGTGTGGTCAACTCCCATGAACTTGGCCTTAAAGGAGAACTATGGGGTAAGTGTTTTTCCCCATAGTTCTCCTAAGGGTCACAGGAGGGCATAAACCAGCGTCCTCCCGTCACCCAAAGCTCAGCATATCACGAGCTACAGCTAGCGATATACTGAGACCGCTGCAGCTGGGACGGATCCCGACATTACTGTCGAGATCCGCCCAGCTGCGTGAGTGACAGCTGGCTCTGCCTATCTAGAGGCAGATCCAGCTGTACCCGCCCCCTCCCCCGTCCGTTCCGCCAGTCAGCGCTAGAGGATCGGAGCGGGGAGGGGAGGAATCCCTGCAGGGAGCCGCGATTGACAGTCACCACTCTCTGCAGGGACATGATCGAGAAGTGAGCGAGTGACAGTCTCATTGTCACAGGTCGGCTCGAACTATGAGGTGAGTGAAAATCACTCACCTCATAGTTCTCCTTTAAGTATGTGGTCATCCCCCATGAACTCGGCCTCACCTGCATACTTGCCGATAGTATTTACAGCCCCCGCTCTCCAGGGCAGACATTGGCACAGACAGGGATCAGTGACCTCACAGACATGAAAGGCCCGCTGCTTGATCTTCCCAAATTTTTGGTGCAAACCCTCCAAAAAAATAATAAAATTGACCAAAATCCTTCATAGTGTTTCCCAACCCAATAGGGTTTCCCCGGCTCTGATTGGTCATGGACGAGGCTTCTGGTGTCTTATTGAGGTTGTTGGGTTTTGTCATTCACAGAGAACTGAAGAAAGATGCCCCCGAGCCCTCCTGCCTGTCCTTCTTCGGCACTGCCCGGGTGGTCACCTCTATAACGGTGCACGCGGCATCCGGGCTGGCGGTTCCCGGAGGAAGTAATGGTAAGTCTCCGGGGCAACCTACCTTTTACACTTCTGTAGAGTAGACACGTGCCATTCCCTTCTTTCCCAATCAAAATGTAGACGAATTTCCGAATCCCAATGCATCCGAATCAGTGGCGTAACAATCACCATAGCGACCCAGGCAGCCGCTATGGTGCCCCGGGGCACAGAGGGGCCGGCCAGGACATCCCCCTGATGCCGTGGGGGCCGCCTGGGTCGCTATGGCATTTCAGGCTGCTGGCTGTCACTGGCGGCTGTGAGGAGAAACACGCCGCTATTCACATGTACAGCGACGCATTCCTCCTCACAGCCGCTGCTGAGTCGGTGACAACCAGCAACTTCGGTGGAGGTGGCTGGGCCCGTCGTCGGCAGCGATGGAGGAGGCGGGTCTTAGCGATGGGGGAGGCGGACCCGGCGATCGAGGAGGTGGGGCCCGCAAGCGATCGTGGAGGAGAAGGGAGGCGGTGAGAGGATCGGGGCAGACAGGTAAGAGGGCTTGAGACCCTGCAGAGCCCACCATAGAGAGTCCATGGTGGGCTCTGCAGGGTCACCCTCAGGTGGGCTGTTTGGGTTATCAGGTGGGCGTAGCTAGAAATCACAGGGCCCCATTTTGCTATGGGGGCCCTGTGATTTATAGTTACGCCCCTGATCCGAATGTGTCCGAATTTCCATCCGACATCCCGTCCGAATTTCGTTTGAAAATGAAACTGAATGGGACATGTGACTTTTCTGGCCAATCAGATGTGTTTTTCAGTTCAATGCCTCCGAATGGGTCTAAACAGGAATTATCGTTACGGCCACATAGGAGCCATATACAGTGTATACATATAATACTAACGCTGAGGCTCCCAGACCCGCATTGCATTGGGGAGCTCGCAACCAATATGCGTTAGTACACTTACGAAAATTCGGATTTCGTCCGAATCCGAAACCCCGACAGGAAGTGATGTGGGATCTCTCCAATGGGTACACAGACAAAGCAGACCAGGGAAGGGTTTTGACAATAATAATCTGGTGTCACGGGGACAGGAAGTGAAGGAAAATCTCCACAATGCTGTCAGAGACAGAGATGTCACATGACCTGACAGATATTTTATTTTGGGCTTTTCATTAATAATACAGATTTTTTTATCTCTCTAGATCCTTCTGTCTACGTGACGGTAAACTGTGAGGGTCGGAAGGTCGCGTCACGCACAGTGAAGGGGCGGAACCCGGAGTTTGACCTGAAAGCCGTATTCTACCGCAAACGAGAGAAAAGGCCGATCGTGGTCCAGGTAGGATTGTCCTTCTGGGAGGACCACCTAAGGAGGACCACAAGGCTCTGGGCACCATTCCTCATACTGAAGCTCCTGAGATGCTGGGCTGTCATACAATGGGGTTCAGTCACATCGGGGTGTATTCCTTGGAGGCAGCACCAAACCAGAATAACCTAAATACAAGCAGTGTAGGCACCTGAATGTGACCTGAAGTCCCTGTACAGCAGGGCTGGAGTCTGAGAGGAAGAAGCACCACAAGAAGCCAATCAGTTCATGTGCTGACAAGAAGCATGCTGATAGCAGGAGAAATCAGGGTGACAGAGATGAACTCATCCCTGTGCTGCTTTTTCTTTGAATGTCCAGTCACTGGTGGGGGTGGGTCCAGGATGACCTGGGCTTAGAGGAAGTGGGCATCTAGTGGCAGAAAAAAAGTACTGCTGGGGAAACCTCTGGAGTGAAGGTGAATATTGCAGTTTTTTTTTATTCTATCTTTTGAACCCTTCGCTGCCACCTACGTGATGGCATACTAGTAGTGACAGGTTCTCTTTAAGGTTCACAAGCCCCTGATGTGATAGCATACCAGTGGTGACAGGTTCTCTTTAAGGCTCACAAGCCCCCGATGTGATAGCATACCAGTGGTGACAGGTTCTCTTTAAGGCTCACAAGCCCCCTATGTGATAGCATATTCGGGGTGACAGGTTCTCTTTAAGACTCACAAGCCCCCTATGTGATAGCATACCAGTGGTGACAGGTTCTCTTTAAGGGTCACAAGAGAACCTGTCACCACTGGTATGCTATCACATAGGGGGCTTGGGAGCCTTAAAGAGAACCTGTCACCACTGGTATGCTATCACTTAGGGGGCTTGGGAGCCTTAAAGAGAACCTGTCACCACTGGTATGCTATCACATGGGGGGCTTGGGAGCCTTAAAGAGAACCTGTCACCACTGGTATGCTATCACATAGGGGGCTTGGGAGCCTTAAAGAGAACCTGTCACCACTGGTATGCTATCACATAGGGGGCTTGGGAGCCTTAAAGAGAACCTGTCACCACTGGTATGCTATCACTTAGGGGGCTTGGGAGCCTTAAAGAGAACCTGTCACCACTGGTATGCTATCACATGGGGGGCTTGGGAGCCTTAAAGAGAACCTGTCACCACTGGTATGCTATCACATAGTGGGGCTTGTGAGCCTTAAATAGAAATTTAGAAATAAAAAACAAAAACTTTTAAAGCCCCCCCGCCCCCCGTGAGCGCACGTGTATTATTTTAAACATGCGTCATGCACGCTAGGTAGGGAAAGGACCATCGTGCCACACATGTTGGGTATCGCCGCGTGCGGCGGAATGAGAGCAATAATTCTACGGCCAATGTTCATGGATATTTCTAAACTGATGACCTGTGGGGGCTTTTAAAGTGTCTCCGATGGACAATTTGGGGTACTGTATTTTGTCGCCGTTTCACGGACGCACGCAATTTTTAACCTGGGCATGTTGGGTATCTATTTACTCCTCGTAACCTCATCATTTATATTGTATTAAAAAAAATGGGTATTTTATTGTGTTTTTTGGCCCGAAAATGAACTTAAGTGTATTTTTTACTACATTTTGGGGTTCGGTGAGTTGCGTTAATATTGTGCGACGTAAAAATTTGCAACCGCTGCCATTTTATTCTGTGGTGTCTTCTGTTGCAGGTCTGGCAGTCTCGATGGGGGAGGGACACCTTATTGGGCAGCGTGTCCGTTCCTTGCCCCGTAGGAGAATCCAACCAGGTGTCGGCGCTGAGACTCCAGAGGAAGGACGCGGCGTCGGCTGGATACGTCATGGTGGAGACGTCGAGCAGCGCGGAGCTGACTGCGCTGTGACTTCTTCTTCTCTGGGTTGTCGTCTCCTCCTCGCTCTGCACATCTCCCCCTCCTTCCTGTCTCTCATCACCTTCGCTCTGCACTTCCTGCACCCTGCACAGAAGACTCGCCATGGGGAGGATGCTGGTCATAGTCGCCCTTCTTCTCGGAGGAGTTTGTCCAGGTATGGACCATGTGACGTGTGGGCAGCCAGGGGGAAAAGAAAGATGGCCGCCCTGGGCCAATAATGTGGGCTAGATGACGTTTGTTACATTGTATCCAAAGCAGACAAAACTTTTTTTGTTCTTGAATGAGCTGACCATTGTTGGTGTCCCCGGCAAGGGAAGGTGAACGCTCTCTATTCATCACCAGGACAGGAAGTGATGGGAAATCCAAACCTCTAAGACCCTGGTGTCCAACCTGCGGCCCGAGGACCGCATGTGGCCCTTTCCTACTTACTGTGCAGTTCTTACAACCTCCTGGTATCGAATGCTACTAGTCATTTTTTAAGGGGGACTTTGCGAATTTCACACATGAAAGCAGGGATTTGTAAAGGGGGTGTAATAGCAGCGATCTCTAGCAGTCTCTTGTAATGTGTCTCTGTTCTTTAGTCTCCTGAAGCATGTCTGCAGTCTCTGACCATCTCCTGTAGTATGTCTGCAGTGTCTGACCATCTCCTGTAGTATGTCTGCAGTCTCTGACCATCTCCTGTAGTATGTCTGCAGTGTCTGACCATCTCCTGTACCATGTCCCCAGTCTCTGACCATCTCCTGTAGTATGTCTGCAGTCTCTGACCATATCCTGTAGTGTGTCTGCAGTCTCTGACCATCTCCTGTAGTGTGTCCCCAGTCTGACCCTCTCCTGTAGTATGTTTGCAGTCTCTGACCATCTCCTGTAATATGTCTGCAGTCTCTGACCGTCTTCTGTAGTATGTCTGCAGTCCCTGACCATCTACTCTAGTGTTTCTGCAGTCTGCAGTAGAGAGCAGAGTGACAGAGAGATGAGCTCATCAGTCTCTTCTCACTGGTTGGGGAAGGTACGAGACCTGTAAGTTGTTATTTAACTGCAGCAAATACAAATCAGGTCGGGGGCAGAAGAAAGTGGGCTGTGCTGTGCCTCGGAGCTGTGTAAATCTCAGGACTGGATGGAGGAACATACAAATCCATGTATGTATTATATCTGTGTATGTAGCTGGCTGCATGGAGTTTGAAGAATTATGATGAGTGGGAGCAGGAGTACCCCTTGGTGTGCACACTCCATGGGTGAGACCCAGTGGCCTAGAGCAGGCCCGGCCAGCCATTGGTGGGTCAGATGTCCTTCTGCCACCTCTTACTTGCTGGTCTCCCCTGGTGTGATGATTGCAGTGACATCGGAAACCCGCGCCTCTCAGGACGTCTTTTATAATTGAAGAAGAACTCCGGGCATTGTAAAACGTAACCCTTGCAGTAGGGGGACCCCGGCACCTCAAGGGTTAAGTGTGCACTTTGGTCTAAGGGCTAAAGTAAAGCAGATATACTCACCTGATTCTTGGTCCTGCCTGGCTGCTCGACCGGTCCCTGCAGCCTCCCCCCGGGCTCCGGCGGACGTCATCACGCCCATTGACTTGCATTGGATGTGAGGACACCGATGCAGCCGGAGTGGAGGGGGAGAGGGGTGAGCGGAAAAAGTTCAAAAATTTGTCGTTTTTGTATTAAATCAATTCGGATGGTTTCCTCTAATTATAAGTTATCTTAATTCATTTCCTTTTTTTTAGGGGGGGGGAGGTGGCGTTTGGTCCCCTTAGTATCTACTAGACCCCTAATCCCCTTAGTCTGTACTGGCCCCCTTAGTCTGTACTGGCCCCCTTAGTCTGTACTGGTCATCTTAGTCTGTACTGGCCCCCTTAGTCTGTACTGGTCCCCTTAGTCTGTACTGGCCATCTTAGTCTGTACTGGTCCCCTTAGTCTGTACTGGCCCCCTTAGTCTGTACTGGCCCCCTTAGTCTGTACTGGTCATCTTAATCTGTACTGGCCGTTAGAATTGGAAATTTGTAAAGAAATTAAACTCACATGACTAGTGAGCAGTTGCTGCAGCAGGACGGAGGATTAGGAAAATTAATCTTTATTTCGTCCCCCCAAAAAGAGGACTTAACCCTTGCAGGGCTGGGGTATCCCCACTGCAAGGGCTCATTTTTAAATGGCCAGAGTCCTTCTTTAAAGGTCTTTACAGAGGTGTACAGCAGGGAGAGAAGGGAATGGGATGAGCCCTACCTGTGTGCAGCTGTGTGTGCAATCTGAGCCTCAGCCACGGAGGTCTGAAAAACAGGATCTTCAACAAAGCAGCTCAGACTAGCCGGGCAAACATGTGTAAAGGTCCCTAGAGCTCCACCTGCTGTCATAAACATGAAATGTCACATGCACTCTATGTACAACAAATGACAAAGTATTTAGAATTGTTTTTTTCTTGTAGTGCTGAACATAATAAAGAAATAAATACAATTATATATTTTTAGCAACAATAGTTATTTCCTTTAATGTTTTGTTTACATTTTTTGTGTTACAAGTTGGGGAGAAAAATCACAATATTCTCCACCAAGCTCAAGTTTTGCAGGAAGAGTAGATCCGCATAGACGATATAGACATATCGGCTGCTCGTATCTCTGCATTTCAAATTTCTCTTGAAATACAGTAGCAGTGAGAGATCTGATATTTATTATACTGATCTATGGATCTCTGATATTTATTATACTGATCTATAGATCTTTGATCTTTATTATACTGATCTATAGATCTCTGATATTTATTATACTGATCTATAGATCTCTGATATGTATTATACTGATCTATAGATCTCTGATATGTATTATACTGATCTATAGATCTCTGATATGTATTATACTGATCTATAGATCTCTGATATGTATTATACTGATCTATAGATCTCTGATATGTATTATACTGATCTATAGATCTCTGATATGTATTATACTGATCTATAGATCTCTGATATGTATTATACTGATCTATAGATCTCTGATATGTATTATACTGATCTATAGATCTCTGATATGTATTATACTGATCTATAGATCTCTGATATGTATTATACTGATCTATAGATCTCTGATATGTATTATACTGATCTATAGATCTCTGATATGTATTATACTGATCTATAGATCTCTGATATGTATTATACTGATCTATAGATCTCTGATATGTATTATACTGATCTATAGATCTCTGATATGTATTATACTGATCTATAGATCTCTGATATGTATTATACTGATCTATAGATCTCTGATATGTATTATACTGATCTATAGATCTCTGATATGTATTATACTGATCTATAGATCTCTGATATGTATTATACTGATCTATAGATCTCTGATATGTATTATACTGATCTATAGATCTCTGATATGTATTATACTGATCTATAGATCTCTGATATGTATTATACTGATCTATAGATCTCTGATATGTATTATACTGATCTATAGATCTCTGATATGTATTATACTGATCTATAGATCTCTGATATGTATTATACTGATCTATAGATCTCTGATATGTATTATACTGATCTATAGATCTCTGATATGTATTATACTGATCTATAGATCTCTGATATGTATTATACTGATCTATAGATCTCTGATATGTATTATACTGATCTATAGATCTCTGATATGTATTATACTGATCTATAGATCTCTGATATGTATTATACTGATCTATAGATCTCTGATATGTATTATACTGATCTATAGATCTCTGATATGTATTATACTGATCTATAGATCTCTGATATGTATTATACTGATCTATAGATCTCTGATATGTATTATACTGATCTATAGATCTCTGATATGTATTATACTGATCTATAGATCTCTGATATGTATTATACTGATCTATAGATCTCTGATATGTATTATACTGATCTATAGATCTCTGATATGTATTATACTGATCTATAGATCTCTGATATGTATTATACTGATCTATAGATCTCTGATATGTATTATACTGATCTATAGATCTCTGATATGTATTATACTGATCTATAGATCTCTGATATGTATTATACTGATCTATAGATCTCTGATATGTATTATACTGATCTATAGATCTCTGATATGTATTATACTGATCTATAGATCTCTGATATGTATTATACTGATCTATAGATCTCTGATATGTATTATACTGATCTATAGATCTCTGATATGTATTATACTGATCTATAGATCTCTGATATGTATTATACTGATCTATAGATCTCTGATATGTATTATACTGATCTATAGATCTCTGATATGTATTATACTGATCTATAGATCTCTGATATGTATTATACTGATCTATAGATCTCTGATATGTATTATACTGATCTATAGATCTCTGATATGTATTATACTGATCTATAGATCTCTGATATGTATTATACTGATCTATAGATCTCTGATATGTATTATACTGATCTATAGATCTCTGATATGTATTATACTGATCTATAGATCTCTGATATGTATTATACTGATCTATAGATCTCTGATATGTATTATACTGATCTATAGATCTCTGATATGTATTATACTGATCTATAGATCTCTGATATGTATTATACTGATCTATAGATCTCTGATATGTATTATACTGATCTATAGATCTCTGATATGTATTATACTGATCTATAGATCTCTGATATGTATTATACTGATCTATAGATCTCTGATATGTATTATACTGATCTATAGATCTCTGATATGTATTATACTGATCTATAGATCTCTGATATGTATTATACTGATCTATAGATCTCTGATATGTATTATACTGATCTATAGATCTCTGATATGTATTATACTGATCTATAGATCTCTGATATGTATTATACTGATCTATAGATCTCTGATATGTATTATACTGATCTATAGATCTCTGATATGTATTATACTGATCTATAGATCTCTGATATGTATTATACTGATCTATAGATCTCTGATATGTATTATACTGATCTATAGATCTCTGATATGTATTATACTGATCTATAGATCTCTGATATGTATTATACTGATCTATAGATCTCTGATATGTATTATACTGATCTATAGATCTCTGATATGTATTATACTGATCTATAGATCTCTGATATGTATTATACTGATCTATAGATCTCTGATATGTATTATACTGATCTATAGATC